CAACAAACATTGGATGGACATTGCCTGTTCAAACTTCGTGGGTGGAATCTCATTATAACGGCAGTCTGGAAGGAATTGTTGTATACGGCTGATGAATTCACTAACATCTTCTTCCTCCCCCTGTCGTAACTGGGAAAAACTCAAGCTTGCCGTGAAGACATGCTGCCGCTGCCCCCAAAGGCAATCGAGTGCATTAAGACTGTCGGACAAAGATGTGTTTTCGTACAAACGCAGTGCATCAAAATACCTTTGACCTTCTGCACCAAGATGTTGTCTCCGGAGAATGACAGAATGGACTCCGGTAAGATTAATGTGAGGACTGGTTACTGAGAAGTTAATCGCAGAAGGCTCTCTTCTAGCGAACCCAAAGCGCTAAAGTTGGCTTACAAGAGGCATTCTACCAAAACGTTTCAGGTGGAGTAAGTTGGCTCCTAGCAAAGGTATACAAAATTGATCTCCGACGACAGTGTTACAACCCCACCCGTACTGAACCAGGACACTTAGTAGAACGCAGTATTCTGCCCGTAGCGCAAGAAAGTAGAACACGTCAGTTTCAGCAATACACAGAATGTATTGTGTCGCCACAGACAACGCTTCGCATAAGTTCAGACAGTCTAATCAATGGTTAGCTGGCGTTAACGGACACACGGGCTGGTGGATCCAGGCAAGAGGAACAGTTTAATCGATGACTGGCTAGCGTTGGAGCGACACACTGCGCAGATGTCAGACAGCTTGACGTACTACTAGCGGAATAGGACTAGGTTGACCAATGGCAACGGGTTTTGCATCCTGCTTCGGCTGAATGCGGTGCACACCACACAGAATAGGTCCGACGGACTGCTGAAAAAGCTTAGGATAACGTTCATGCTAGTATATCACGTTCACGGAAGAGACAAGGATGCGGTCGAAAGATGGTGTTACTTGCAAAGCCACCATGGTAATTCTTCCAAGTGAGAATCGTCTGTTGTCTGAAGAAATGTGTACTGCAACATCCGCAGCTAACGAATGCAGCTGTAAAGGCACGATAATGAATCCCAATATAGTTAAGATATTTCCAATGTAACTCCGAATTGAATGCGAAGTGGGCTATAAGGTATGTTATGATAAGCAGCGTTCGTAAAATCGGAAAGATACAGGGTGAGCACGTAGTCCCTGGTCATTGTTCATAACTGAAGTTTATTTTGCAATACCAATTACTGTTTAATATTCGCACGCTTATCATAATATTTATAGCATATATGTACGAGACTTTTGCCTTTCTGCTTTCAGGCATACATTCGAAAAATGACCGACACAAGTCCCTACACAATTGGGTACATGATCCAGTGCTAGAACAAAGAGCAATGACTGACGTTTCCACCAAATCCCAGGAGCGTTTCAATAAGCCTGCACCAAAAACGGACACATTATTTGCATGGGAGAAGAAAACATTTGCAGCTGGATCTGTGCTGGATGCCCCTCGCTTTGGAGGTCCTGCCTCCCGAATGAAGCACGTGGAAATCATTCAGCAGTCAGTTTTCAATACTCTAAAGAAATCGACTCGTAAGAGGTCCGCTGAATTGCATATTCCCCGCTCCACACTCCAAAAGGTACTCAAAACTAATCTAGGCATGTCAGCATTCAGGCCAATGTAAGTCAGTGAACTGTCTGATATTGATCGACAGAATCGAATGGAAGTGTGCCAACACCTCCAGGAATTCCCCACAAAAATCAGTCGTCACAATGTCTTCTGTAATGATGAATGTACTGTCTATCTCAGCTCCCGATCACGAAATGTATACATTTGAAGCAAGATTAACCCATACTATGCTGAAGAAATCTTCCACAACCCACCGCACGTCATGATGTGGATGGCAATGTCAGCCACCAGAAGCACTGGGCCATTTCTTTTCTCGAAAACTTAGTGAATCAGTTCACCTACCGAGAAATGTTGGAGACCTAGTTCATTCTACAATAGGTTTCAACTGGAATCATGCATGTAGCCATTCTGCAGCAAGATGGTGCGCCTGCACATTTTGCTATCTCGGTGCGGCGGTTCCTGGATGAGAATTTCCATTGCCGGTGGATTGGACGTGGATCACAGCCTCAATGGTCAGCTCGCAGTCCTGACCTCTCATTATGCGACAATGCCTTGTGGGGTATGATGAAAGAAGACATCAGAAAAACACGTTACAACAACACAGAAAAACTTAAGGCTGCAATACGTGCTTCATTGAATTCGATTTCCCATGATGTTCTGCAACGCATCTCAGCAAGCACTTGGAGACGCATTCGTCTATGTGCTAAGAATGACAGTGAACACACAGACAAATTGGAGCCATGGCAGTGTGGTCATAGGCTAACACATGTTTGTTTCAATAAATTTCATTGAACAGCGAAGAGCCCTTCTTTTCCTAGACAAGTAATATGTACAATTTTTTGCATTTATACACTGATTTACGTAGGTACATGCATAAAGGTGGAGTGTCCGGGGACATTGTGGCCACCATGTACAATGGTAACTGGAGAAGCAGAAACTAGTTCCATTCGAAGTGGAATAGCGCCTTTGATGGTAAGGAATGACACAGGACGAATATCAGCGGAGGGAAACTTTGGTTTTATAACGGATATCGTTAGACTTTTTGAAGTGTTAGCATTAGCGGTGATGGAATAAATGTTCTCCTGAGATGGATCAGCAACATGGCCTTCAGGTGTAGCATCGTTGTTGATAAGTGCGATGGCTTGCGACCGACAACATCGGGCGTAGTGTCCAATTTTGCCGCAAATTTGGCACTTAAGTCTGTGTGCGGGAAAGTGATAAAATGGGTTTATGAGAGGCACTTCTACAGCGATAGCAAGATGGCTTGTCGGCTGGTAATTGTCGAAAGTATTGCACCTTTGCCACCTCAGCTGAGTTAGTCGAACAAAACCGTTTCGATGGCGGTGAAATTTCAGTTTTCATACTGGTTAACTCGCAAGCTCGATCCCACGTCAATGTGCTCGCCTGTTCCTACAACAGCGCCTCACGAATACAGTTGTCAGCGATTAGCTGCTGAGTCAGCATACATCCTTCGATCTTTTCCTGGGGAATGGACGAATAATCACAAGATCGTGCTTCGCGACTTAAGCGGGCAATGAAATCGTTCAAGACTTCAGCCGGTTTCCTGATGCAAGCGGGAGAAAACGTATCTTGCAGTCAACACATTCAGTTGGTAACATGATGTACGATCGAGAGCACAGAAACCTTCTTTAACGGACTTACATCCTTGAAGGCCCAAATCATCAAACTGTCGCTGCCCCTCATCTCCGAGTAAAGTCGAAGCAACTTCAATCTGTGTTTCTCGCTAAGAGCAGAATGGAAGTCGCTGATTAAATCCAGGTAGTTTTGGAAGGATATTTCCCAACGGAGTCAGGCATCTGATGTTGGTCTGCTACCGCAATCAGTCGAAAATAGAGACAGGGGCTGAATGGAAAGGTTCAGCTTTGGACTCGCGACGCTAAATGTTGTATCAAGAAAGCAACAGAAAGAGTAGGATGTGTATTTTACTCAATTCCGAGGCATACGTAGAGGTAACACACAGTACATCAATTTTAACTGTCCGTGTTTATACAACCAATGAGAAGTGAGTTGCTCCGTTTCGGCCAGCCAATGAAACGAGTTAAGAGGGAGATGTGATGGATCGGCCACAACAGTAGCACATCTTAAAACACTTGAATCTGAATCTCTCGATCCTGACCGCAATCTTCGTGTCTCTGGTGGTACCAATACGACGAACTGTGGTTTTATGGTGTCGGTGGTGTTTTTGGTAGACATGCTGAAGGCAATTTACTCGATTTGATACCGGTAAACAGCAGTATGTGTGCAATTGGACTTTGAACCTTTATGGGGGTTGATAAGTGTCGTATGAAGTGAGTATTTTCATCGCACTTTAAGCCCCGATGGACTGTAGCTCGACAGCTCTCATCTCGTATCCACAGGGTGAATAACATTAATCTCTTGATTATTTCTGGCGATATGAATGCCTATCGGACTCTGAACAGCATCATGGAGGCGGCGTCGGGGTCGGTGCACGCAAAACATACAATGACGACGGATTCCTTGTTATGTGTCGCCCATAATCTTTATATAAGCCGCATGGCTTTCCAACATAAAGGCTCACATCGTGTCACCTGGACCGAAGTTGACCATTCTGCAATACGTTACGAAAGGCGCACATCAGTTTGGGCAAGTTGGAATAAGTAGCGAGATTTCGACTATGCTATATTGAGCCAGTGCTTAAACAAAGATCTAGGCTCCTCAACTGCAAATTGAACTTTCTGTCCCCCTATGTATTTTGGCATCTTGCCTATTGTGTTGTAGTAAAGATATTCATAGGTGTAAACACTGGGTGAGAGCTACGGCTGGTGTAGGACAGGCCACCCGTGAAAACTCTGTAGTCACGGGTCTTTTGCGCATGTACACGCTCAAAATGAAGGGAAAAATTCAAGTGGAAATGCTGGTAATCATGTATAACTTGGAAGCGCAACGACTTCGCGAAGCATGCTAATGGAGGCTGACACAAAAGTGACAGAATAGAATAAACCCGTAATTGTAGAACTTATAAGAAACACGCTTAAAACGGTCAAATAAGAATGCTCAGATGGGTCCCAGTTAGTGGATGAAGCACAAAGTGTGTTTGTCACATGCGACCTTCAACACTTAATGATAGGATAGATGATCTATCATTCCGTAGGCAGTCTGTAACCTTACGACTATCATCATGAACATGACAGCCGCTCCGGAGACAAGTAACCGTAAAGTATGGTCACTAACAATGATCGCACAGTCTGTCAAAGTGTAATTGCCGTAGTGGCAATAGCTGTTGCAGACAGGTTCGGAGATACCTAGAGAACCCGTAATATCGGGCCACAACTGGTACAACAACAACAACAACAACAACAACAACAACAACAACAACAACAACAACAACAACAAAGCATATCCCAGTACGAATTTATAGTGAGGTGTTGGGGGCACTCACCTGCATACCGATCACCATGGGGTTCATTCCATCAAATGGAACCATTCGAGTGACTAACTCCCATAGAATCACACCGAAACTCCACATATCTGAAGCTTCAAGGTTTATTTCGCTAGGTTTCTTTGTGAGAGCTGGAAAAGATTACGAAAAACAACCATGACGAAAAAGGAATTTGGTCGTATAGTGTATACCAGTACATCAATACGGATTTTCAGGATCATCCAAATCGCTATTGCAAGTGCTGCTCAGAAAGGCGGGGCACTCAGCTACATACTATGAGGTCAACTGTCCTAAACACAACTGGGATAGTCCACACAAGAGGAAGTTATAGTTGAACACTTAGGACCTTAGGCATCACAAGTCTGCTTTGTAAGTCTGAAGTCACGGATTCGTGCCTGCGTAGGGGATTGGGAAAGCCTCGCAACATTCTTAGCCCAAGCGCGGCTGGCGGTGTTGATGTGGCAACGAAGCGTCGGTAATGTGTACCAGCGTTCTGCTGATGTCATTTAGTGACTTACTAAAACCCGTCAAAAACTGAGGTAAGTAAAGCACCTAAGTAGCGGTGTTTGTCATTTTAAATATGGACGGTATGTGGGGAAAGGAATAAACAAGTGAAGTCTCGGATACGTCTATCAAATGGCACTTGATGAGTCCCAATATCCGAAGTCATACAACTGCAGCGAAGCCAATCAGACAGAGACTTACCCTCAGGTGACATCCAAGCAGGATTATATTCACGAGCCTTTTCTTGAAATGAAAACTTATAATCTGCCATGTCCAAACGAGCAATTAAGAATTCATCTTTGTAGCCCACGTTGTTTGCATTCTCCTTGTTATCGTAGTCCATCATACCTAATTTGGCGATATCTTCATCCACCTGACGAGTGAAAGCAGAAACGCAAGGAAATAAATGCGACCGCTTTGCAAAAGTACGGCAACATATGGGTAAATGAAATCGTCATTTCGGTTGAACAATGTCCAGCGCGAAGGATGAAGCATCACATGAAAATATGGTAATAGACAAATGATGAGCAGTAAAATTGCTCCCTTGTGACATAGATAACATGAGACAGCCCGAAACCCTCGGCCGTTCAACGAGGACCACCGTAAAGTGCTCCGCATAATGTGTACGCCTATTCGGGGATCAGCTACCGCAGCGAGATCGGCCAAAAGTAAACCTAACGTCTGATTAAGGGTTTAAAAGAAACCGGTTTGCATTTCGCCATTCGAATGTGATCACCACATGAAAGTCACCGCGAAACGAACAAGCGCCTTAATGAAAAAGGTATACAATGCAGCGGAGCCACGCATGCTTAGGTCCAGAAGACCACTGCTTAAGTGTTCATTGGAGACACCGGTGTCGAAGCAGTGCACGTCCCATTGTCTACGCGAATTCACAGGTAGCTGCGGAGACAGGTATGTTGGGAGTACTGATCGAAATCTAGGTGCCCGGATCAACGAACACATTCCGAAGTGGCTCGTCAAATGGGTGGAACATGTGACGGTTTCACCGGGTAAATCGAGTAGCAAGGATGCCTCAGCAATTTCGAGGCATTTGCTGAACACCGGTCACCAGGTAAACTTGGATGAATCATTCTCAGTTATGATGTGCATCCAAAGGCCTCACCTACTCAAGCTTTTTGAGGCCACTGTTATCAACCAAGAGCGCCCAACGCTCTGTGTTCAAAGACAGCTGATTGTGACACTAGGCCTTCCGTGATAAAGTGTAACGCACAATCGTAATTTAGCTGACCAACAATTGGACTTATGTGACCTTAATTTCGATTTTTTATTTGCATGTACGTGACCGAGGACGATGAACGAAGTGACAGTGTCACCCCGCAACATACGTCTACTGATATTCTTATTTGATTTCTTACGAACAAGTATAAAATGCAGCAACAGCTGGCAACCATCAGGTTGACCGTTGAAAAGGACATTCGGAAGCGCAGACATGGTTATTTTACCTCAAAGATACGTACGTTGAATACATGAATCGATCTTGGCAGTCACGAAAAAAACATGATCCCGCTGTTCCGGAGCTTCATCAACTTAAGTTCACCACATACATCGTTGAAAAGCACCATCTTCCATGTAAGTGAAGACTGAAAACATTGAAAGCACTCAGTGGATGTTGTCATTGATCACGAAGTAACTTGATGGTGACTAACGTGATGCTGCATGACCAAGCTCAAGTTTAACGGTCTTTGCTGGAGTTCAGCGGTAACAACAATCTCGTTCAGCCTGACGAGGTATCATAGCTATTCGAAAGACAAAGGAAATTTCTTTTCCGGAATACCCACCCTGATTCAGCGGTTCCTGAGGAAACACTAGCCATACTTAAAAGGCAATTTGACGATGAATTCATCCAACTACATTTCGCGATAGGGAACAGTTACTCCATTCGATTCCAAGAGTAAAAGCCATGCCTTTACCAGTCGACACACTTAGTGTTGTAAATCAAGATGGAGAGAACAGCCCCCTGTTTCACTCACAGATAAGAGCAAACAGCTGGGGAGTTGCTGGGTGCATGAAAACTCTCACCGGACCGACCGACGGAAAGAGCGGAGTAAAAGCTTCTGCATTCGCAAGAAATCAGTGTTCACAATTCATAATTCATCGTAAAATATGTGAGTCGGTCACTGAGTTGTGATTGCTGGTTCCAGTCTTAACTCCGGAACGTATTTCGGCCGGTGGTCAAAGAAATGCAGCGTCTGCCCTGTAACCCCAAGATAACCGATTGGTAGCAGCGTAGGTGCGGGTGACCTAGTAGTGGCCATAGACCGCACACGACTAGTGGTGGTCGCATAGCAGCAAAGCGCCGATGCGGCGCACTGACGCTTATTGTAACAAATATTCATGAGGTAAGGTGCAAGCAGGAGCAGCAGTTTTTAACCCCTCATCGCCATCCATCATTATACACGTTAGCTAGAGAAGGAAAACATCTCATCTATTGCGCCTGCAAGTTTATAACTTCTGCAGTGAACTGTTGAATTTTTCACGCCTTGTCACTCTGCAGTTGTAAATCTGATTTACGGAACGTCTATCCCTATCAAATGCTTCTGTCCGGTGAGTTGCGCCCAAGTTCATTTGCCTCCGATTCTTTGTAGCGTTCCGCAAATAATACATTAGGCTCAACTACCTTACTATTAACCGTTATTCTGTATATGGCACGTCTCTTGTGTGTCACCTTTAACAATGAGTACTAGAAGCATACTCTACAACAGATGACTCCGGCTCAGAACTCCGCATCAGGCTGTTCAGATGGCAACCACAACCGTAGGTACCCGCAGCTTCTTATCCGAATCAGAGTGGACAGACCTAGGAGGCGATCAATGTATGTCGAATTGTAATGGCAACACATTCAACGCGCTTGCTCAGAATTTTACCTTCGAATGGTGTCCGTATATAGACGGATATTTTGTGCAGAAGAACTCTTGCCTTGTCACTGTCCAGTGAGTAGCTGTGAAACCTAATTCAGTAAAAGTTGACCACTCAACAGACTGGACCAAAGTGGTCAACATACAATAATAATAATAAATAATAAAAATGTGTCAGCTGTATGCCGCAACGGCGATTCGCTGCCACGCGACCAACACCGGTCACGCGTGGATTGAGTATGCCGCGAAGATGTCCGCCCCTACACGGATTCGAACCGGTGACCTTATGGTTGCAAGCTAGGTGTGCAGTGTTCCAGAACATGGTAGATTTTCGCCTGGCAAGCGATCTCCCTATAGAAAGCTACACATGTCCGTTTAACAACACTGACGTGGCGGATGTGACTCACCATGAAATAAAGTCACTATCCCTTGCTTCGCACTGACGAAGGATTGTATTCCAGCAACTTAATGCCAAAATTGTGGGGAGCATTGGGCAAATGTGTGGCAAACGGAAGCAGTAGAAACTGGACAACCAGTCATCGGTTTTCAACGGGTGCGATTCCATGCATTCACTCCACTGCCTTCCGGGCAGGCCATGTGGCCGAAAGTTCAGGGTAGTGTCCTCTAAGTCAACATCCTACTTCGGCTTGTGCACCCGGGTAGTACCTTGCCCTCTGACGAAAACATGGACTCCTCCGTGTTGTGATATTTTTTAAATAACGATATCTGCATCTTCCTTTGAGTTCCATAGTTTCTTATGGCTTCCATGCCTACTCGTAAGCTATTGCATATATATATATATGTATATATATATATATATATATATATATATATCGGGTTCTGCACATCGGTTGGTGCGACAGAGTTGCGAACACGGAACCGTTGAGCCGAAGTGGAACGTACGCAGTGGACTGTATACTTCCGCCAAAACACCTGAGGTGGCTCAGTCATGTGTGCCGTGTGGATTCGACGCGGATACCGAAACACACGGTCAGCTGAGTACTAGGAAATGGCATGTAGGGAAACCGAAACTTCGTTACCAGGACTTAGTCAACGTGGGCCTCGCACGTTCTAATCTTGATTGCATGTCATGGGAATCGAAGGCGGTTGATCGGCGTGCATGGTGCGATTTGATCACGAATGCAGTTGTCGAGGTGCGGGAGAAAGACCTCGTGCATTCTGAGAAGAAGCTGCAAGCGCCGATAGGTGGTACTCAATCGACATCGAGTACATGGTGCTGCAGCACATGCGGTCGCGAGTGCCTAAGTCAGGCAGGTCTAGTGAGCCATGAGCGAGGCCACTCAGCGCCACCACCGAAGTGACGACGGGTCCTGCATAGAACGTAGGCATAACTGGTGCAGCATTTGTAGGTACGTTGCATTGGATTTACAAACCGTGTGCTTGCATGCTAGGTCTCCATATTTCAGTTATTTGGTTTGGTATATTGTCTCCCCATTGCCTAAGTGAACTATCTTCTGTTAACTGGCACACGTCGCCCAAGTTAATTGTAGTTAAATTTGGTAACATTTTAACGTCTGTGGCATTTCCTTAAAATATATCTTCTGACGTCTTTAAACTACAGCGGACTATTTTGGCAACCTATTTATTTCATATGCTCATATAGAAAAGAGCTGTCAGCATACCTGCATGCATTATTAGACTTATTTCATTTGATATTGTCATTCCAAGTGATTAAGCGTTGTTTAACATCCTCAGCGTGGCCGAGCTTGATGTGTATGTTGACAAGGTGCCTACCTGTCTATTATCCACTACTTCGTCCATGCTAGATCCAAGAGATAGTTGGTCGTTGCTGGACGAGACGCGATGCACGGTCCTTGTGGCCGTGCTAGGCTCAAAAAGTGTTTCCATGCACTCAGTGTGCAGCGGACTACGGTCCAGCCACCGCCTTGTGTGTTTGATTCCCCAAATACAGTGTGCTTGTGTTTGCCTGTGAAGGAGTGTGGGCCGGCTCTGTTGATGAAACGTGGCTCCCATCCGCTTGCCTCCCGGTCTTATTCCTTCGGGTTTACACTGGATATGGGGTGTGTGGTTGGAACTGTGGGTGGTGCAGCGCAAGCCACCCATGGTCCCTCTGTAGGCGCAGGTGTCCTGTGGCTGGCCAGTGACTGACAAATCCGAAACCGGACGCCGCCACCCTTATATATATATATATATATATATATATATATATATATATACATATATATACATATACATATACATATATATATATATACATATATGGATTTATAGGATTTACGGGGTGAAAGTACAAGTAATGAAAAAATAGACGGTCAACTTTGGAAGTTTAACGGTAAATGGTTCTGGGCAGTTATTTGCTTTTGAGGTCTGTGCTGAATTGCAATTCAGATTCTACACCCTTTGCGAGCTGGGTAAAAAAAGGTTTTGTGGAGGTAATGATTGCAATCAGTGCATTACAGTTAAAGAACTATGATCGGGGCACGGAGGTGTAGTGGATCCAGTTGTCACGATTTGC